GGCGTCCTTCCTCAGCAAGTCTGATAGGGGTTTAGCAATAATAGCGTAGTTTTCGACGAACCGTCTGAAATACGACGTTAAGCCCAGGAAGCGTTGCATTGCCTTCCGGTCACGCGGTAATTGAAAATTTTTAATAGCACTCGTTTTCGCGTCCGAAGGTTTTATTGAACCATTTTCGATTATATAGCCGAGGAACTCGACCCTTCTCATTAGAAATTGACACTTACTCCAATTCATCCGTAAACCAGCCGCTGCAGCCTTCCTCAGCACTTCCTTTAGCTTCTGGATGCCTTCCGCTTCATCCTTGGAGGGAATCGTCAGGTCATCCATATAAGCTACCACCGTTCCGCTACGTATCAAATCTCTTAGTACTGCGAAAATAAATCGGGAAAATACCGCCGGCGAGTTTGAGATCCCAAATGGCACGTATCGGAACTCGTATTGGCCATTGTGCGTTACAAATGCGGTGTACTTCCGCGAATCTAACGCTACCGGCACATGGAAGAACCCGTTTGTGAGATCTAACGTCGTAAAAACATTGGATCCTTGTAGCTGCTCGATGACGTCGTCCATCATGGACATGGGAAAATTGTCTCGTAGGATTTTTGCGTTCAAACGTCGATAGTCACAACAGAGGCGTTTACGTCCGTCCTTCTTCGAGACCAACACTACCGGCGACGCGTAATCGGAGCTGCTCGGTTGGATGATGCCTTCCGCTAGCCACTCCGCCACTTGCTTCTCCACCACACATCGGTCTACGTAAGACATCCGCCTCGGTCTTTCGTACACAGGGTTATCATCGGTTAACACGATCTTCATTTCGACGGGCGATTCGAAATTGCGTCTAGGCTTGTAATTGGCTATTAAGTTCCTCACTGCAACTGCATGTTCCTTGCTCAGATGGGACAAATCTGTTTCCATCTCTGGTGCTTCCTTCATGCCCGCCACTAGGCATAACTCTCCGAACTCCTCGACCAGCTCGACAACTCGGTTCTCCTCGTTCCCCACTACTGGGTCTACAGTAACAGCAGAGCGCGCGCTCCCTCCGTCATTGCCCATCTTTACCGACTTCCGCGACATCTCACTGTGCCCCTGTGGCCTAACAGCTACACCAAAACGCCCTCTCGCGACTTCGCAATGCACTGCTGCCAATACCTCTTGCGTCTCGATGTGCTTCCGCAGCTCCTTCGTCCCATCTCCGCGACTAGGGACGCTCATACGCTCCTCTTTGCCACTCATCGGTTTGCGTGCCGTCTCTTTAGGCGCAAATGTTCCAGCACACTTGCCTCCTCCTACCGCCGCTTCGATTTTCCGATGCACCTCCTCGCTGACCTTGTTTTTAAATTCCACGCCTTCTTCTGTGACCACCATGTCGACCTGCTTTAGCACATCGTTGCCGACTACCAACGCGTAGCTGATGTCTCGCTCCCTAGCGACGTGAAATTCTATGTCCATCTCGATGCCGTCAGTAGTGACGTGAACGGTGAAGTTACCCATTGTCGTGATTTCACTTCCACCGATGCCCACCAAACGTCGTCTCTCCTTACCTAGCTCTACATCTAGGCGCAACATCATTAGCGTATCATAACGCATCAAGCACAAGTCCGAGCCTGTATCAATCAGGGCGGATACATCACTCCCGTTGAAATTTAATTCTTTAAAGATTAACCCGCATCTCTTCTTTGCTGACATCATGTTCGCGGATGATTCTGATTTAGCTGGATTACCAGTCAACTTACATTCTGATGCGCGATGTCCCTCTCTACCACACCTAAAACATTTCATATTACGCTTACGTGGACAATTTCTAGCGAAATGTGAAACGTCGCCACAATTGAAACAGCTTTTCCTGGTCGAACTCGAACTTGGTGAGACCTTGTTTGAGGACGTCGGCTGAACCTGATTCGAATTCGATGATGTGGGCTTATTGGCCCGTATTCTTTCATACACTTTGATTTGTTCCTTCAAATCCCTAATACTTTTGGCCTGATATAGGTAACTTTTATTTGCTCTCGAGTAAGGTATCCCCTCGATAAAATATTCGATAAGGCTAGAGTCGTCTAGATTTATCGGTTTTGCTATCTCCAACATAGTGTATAAGTATTCGCGTAGGTCTTCTCGCGGACGCAACCTACGGTTCCTAAGAGTGCGGTGTACTTCAATTGAGGACACGGTGGTACCAAACTCCTTACGTAGAGCTGCTTTTAGTAGCTCCCAATTCTTAATACCGCCTTGGCTACGAATAAATAGCTTAGCTGCGCCTTTCAACAATTGCTTCGCGTATATGTACATCTGAAGCTCACTCCATTGAACGGCCATCGCATTATCTTCAAAATCTTCTAACCAATTTTCAAAACTGGGTTGACCGGATCCGCTGAACTTTGTTAAAGACTCCTCTACATCTCGGAGAGTAAACACCGAACGTCCCACCACCGCCGCAGGAACACTACGTTGACTAGCAAAATCATCTAAATCGTCGGCCTCGCTGTCACTAACGTTCAAGCCAAAATGTTCTAATAATCTGTCCTGGAGTGTAGCCTTCCGTCCGTTTGTCGCTAACCCCAACTGCTCTAATTTTTCTTTCAACCCGTCTACGGTCAGCCCTAGAATTTGGTCGCGGTCCATGTCGAACAATAATATTACAACAATAATATTATAACAGTATATTCAATATAAAATTATTAATTAGGTGACAATAATCGTAGGGTAATAGGGTAATTCTATTGACTAACATATGCAGGTGGTTGATCAATTTCGGGAATGGCTGATTACTTGTTGACAGTGCACGTGAATTTCCTTCCACAAATATTTACTTAAATTGATAGTTTCTTTCTAATATTTGAGTGGTAAAAAAAATAGATTACATTACGTAACAGTTTAAACACCGGTTTTGTAGAACCACATACAAAATTTTACGTTTACGACTTGNGGAACCACATACAAAATTTTACGTTTACAACTTGAAAACCATCGGCCTGCTAACACAAAACAAATTACCGTTCTTATATGTGTGCCTGTCACTGTTTTCCCGTTTTTGCAAATTTACATATACAAAAGTACAACGATATTACAATAAAAGTTATGAAAAGTAACAATAGCAAGAACTTAGCTGCGCTGTACTGCTTTTCCCTCGCTGTTGTCTGCTGTGTTGTGTTGTTGTTGTCTTTCTTGTAAAATCGTTGCCCGTTTGTCTCCCTCGCCGCCGTCGACTTGGCTATTGTTCTTCGTTTCAAATTAAAGAATTTTACTCTGCTGTCGTTTTTTGCTTATACAGCGCAGTCGCTGTTTACTGCACGTCGTTGCTTGCTTGCGCGTGGCTTGTACTTCGCCGCCTGTTTGCCTCCCTCGCCACGGACCACTTGGCTATTTGCTCTTCGTTTTAAATTGAAAAATTTTACTCTGCTGTCGTTTTGTGCTTATACAGCGCAGTCGCTGTTTACTGCACGTCGTTGCTTGCTTGCGCGTCGCTTGTACTTCGCCGCCTGTTTGCCTCCCTCGCCGCCGTCCACTTGGCTATTTGCTCTTCGTTTTAAATTGAAAAATTTTACTCTGCTGTCGTTTTGATTGCGCGCCGCTGCTTTATTGCGCGCCGCTGCTTAGTTACGCGCCGCTGCTTAACTGTGCGTCGCTGGTCCCTTGTATTACAGTACCGCAAGTGCGCGTATTCTTCCTCGCGCATATATTGACAAGTTGTTGCGGTACCCGACCAAAAACAAAGTATTATGCGCACGCCATACGGATCGGACCACAGTACAANACCAAAAACAAAGTATTATGCGCACGCCACACGGATCGGACCACAGTACAATACAGTAATGGTTAAGTTCCGTTACCCACGCACCCAATGTATTTTACTAGAAATTTCTTCAAAATTCCGCACTCTGTTAAGCATTTACTGATGCATTAAATATTTTAAGTGTTTTTTCTTAAAAGTTCCACGATTTCACTGTACGTTTAAAGACGACGCTACAATTTCGCACACGACTATTTTGTTTATTACATGTACGCGTACTTCAGTTTAGAATAGCGCATTTAGTTATATTCGCGCACTGTTCATCCCACTTCTGACACCACTTGTAGGATTTCCCTTCTTAATCAAATTAAAATCCCATTTCAGTTTACGCAGGTTTGCTTATTTATTTTATTAAATTAAAATGTACACTTAACATGGAATACAATGTAGGTTGAAGCCTGAGGTCCGTCCGGTGCTCGCGGTCGCGTAAATTGGAATGTCGTTCTTGTCCGTTTTTCTAGTTGTGGTTCCTCTCGTCAAGTTGCTCGCTTGTTTCTTTCACTGTCCTTCTTATACAGCGTTGCATCTGGAAGTCAGTGTTACCTGATTGTATGATATTGTGTTATTTCGTAAGTGGTAAGTAAGTGTTGTGATCTCGTAAGTATTGTCCGGCAGTCAAATCCTACATAGATTTCATTTATTATATCAATTTAATACAATACAATTTTTCAAACAGGTGGCAGCCCTCCCTAAAAATATTTTCGGCAATAAAATTTCCTAAACCCTTTCAGTTTGATACCCATATTGCAATATTCAGTTTATCTTATAAATTAAATTAAATGTAAATTTTCAAACAGGTGGCAACTCTAAAAAATATTTTTGGCTGTAAGCCTTCTTCAGCCTCTTTCTTTTGACGCCCATATTGCAATATTCATTTTTTCTTATCAATTTACTTAAACTCCAATTTTCAAACAGGTGGTAACTCTCCAATTTTTTTCTTCCTATATTTTAAGTTAGACCTCTAGCAATACATCGGTGAAAACTGCATTTAAATCCATGTATTCGTTTTCGAGTGATGCGCGAACAAACATACAGACAGACAGACAGACAAAAATTCTAAAAATGGTTGATTTGGCGTCTGGTTCTCTAATAAAGACCCCCCACATTAATTTTTCTTTAATATCTATAATGTATAATTTTATTATAAGTATAGATTTCAAAATACATGGTATTCAGTGCATTTCAGAATTTATGATTTATACTTATATATCACGGTGGGTAATATGCATTTAATAAAAACAACAAAAGAAAATAAAAATTAAAAATTTTAGGTGCAAGGTTGACAATAAAGTTCTTCGACGTGTTTGAAGTTGCTAATCAAGATTATGGCCTGGATGCTCCAGCCTTACCATCTCCATCTTAATCTCAATTTTCCGCTTCTTTCTCGGTGTTGGCTGCTTGCTCTACTGGTTAAAGGTAAACCATCTGGATCCACCGAAGAAGCAGAAATGTCCATTTCCGTTTGGGCATCGTGTTGGACCTGAGCACTATCTCCAAAATCCAGCGCACCTCTAATTCCACTTGTGTACCTTATTAAGCCCGTCAATTCTATGACTTGCTCTTCAAGTGGGGTTATGCGCTGCAAACGGCATTGACCTCCACCGGTGCTCATCATTTCTTTTTTGTTATCTGATAGCTTCCGTTTTATGTAGCATTTCCAGTCAATCCACACCTGTAACAAACCGTTCCATCTATTTTACAAATTCCTGTCATTTTCAGTAATACCTAACCTTTCTCCATGCATTGGAGTCCTTAGATGGGGGACCTAATGCATTTAGGGAAGTTACTACCTCGTTCCAAAACGCCTGCACTTCTTCTTTGGATCGCTGTTGAAAACCCTGCGCTATATCTCTTTTTGCTGCCATCATTTCAGCCAATTTCTCATATTGCTCTGGTGTTGTTGTTTTGACCTATAAACATGATAAAAAATCGCGAAAACACAAAAATTAAGAAAATTCACTTATAATGATTTTTACAATCATCCACAGTAATTTTCACTTACATTTTTTGTAAAATTTTATTATTTAAACCCACGAAAATAACAATTGAATGATTCCCGCCAACAAATTTGCAACTTACAAAAACGTAACTACGATCGAAATGTAGAATAGCTAGAATCGAAAAATTCGAACATTGATCGGAACGAAACGGAACGCAGAATACCAAGGTTGCCAAACGGAGAAAATTTCGATTCGAGTCGAATTGGGAAGAATTGGTCGGATTTGGGAAGAAAATTTTTAGGGAAAACAATTGTTAGTGGCAACGGTGGTGGTTGCCCTTAATCACGTATATCTTACGAACCAATTGAGTAATCGTAATACGAGATACGGCAAATAAAATTCTCCATAAACCACATGTACATCACTTTAGCCCAGATAGTTTCTAAGAAATTAATTGGTCAATCCCAGATTTATTAGATTTATTTTTGGGATTGAATTTGATGAAAAAATGGAAAAATTCAAACTTTAACAGGGAAAAAATTAAAAAAAATAACAGTTTCTGTGTAAATGTTTTGCACTTGTGATAAAGCCTGTTCCTTTGGAAAAAAATTAGCTACCAATGAAGAAAATCGATGGATAAAAAAGAAAGTAATGATTGGCCAAATGAAAATGCGCAAGGATTTTGTTTATGAAGTATGAGCAGAAAAGAGTGTTAGTCATATGCCACGTACAACTGAGTAGGTAGGGTGTTTGCATTGGTCACGTTCAGAAGGCGCAACAGCTCAGTAACTGTTGCGATTACACCTTCTGAACGCGTTGTTTTGTACTTATGATCAACTGAACAGTTGCGTGTTAGATGATCTAGATGATCGTAATATTTTTCTGATCATTTGAGACAACGTGTTGTGTGTTTTGAATTTGACAGCTAATGTATCAAGCCGTTCAGAAGACGCATTCCGATCATTGATTTTTTTAGCAACGGTTGCGCTCAACTTCTGCACCTTCTGAACCTACCCATTGAAAGCAAGAGGTGTCAGAAATGATTACTTAATTTCTCAGAAACTATCATTGCTATCGAAAAGTGATGTACATATATACGTGAAACGTAGCTTCGTCTACGCTACAAAAACATACCCAACATCACCCTAGCATGCATCATACAACTCAACATATGTACATATATATATAAAAGCGCATAGAAATGTACATCAGAGATCGGACTTTTAAAAAAGTCTCTGTTGTAGAATCTGGAAAAAACTGTGGTAGATTTAAAAAAAATGTGGTAGATCTCTGGGTTTGGACCAAACTTTGTACGATAATTAAAAAAAAATCTGCAAGGTTTCACCTCAATTGCAAACTTTTTAATTAGACCCTAAAAAAATTGGATTTTAGTATAATAAAGTACAAGATTGAAGTTGCCGGGGTTCCGCGAAATTAATTTTGGTATGAGTAAGCACGGTGATCTGTTTGAGTTGCACACAGAAAGAAGAGTTCTATGAACAGCTTGACCGAGACGCAATAATCTATTTTCAAGTATACATAAAAGATGGAGCATATAATGCTCATTAAAGTGTTTTATTCCAGTTAGTTTACAACTTGATTGAAAAGTATAAGTATATTAAATAAATGATTTTAAAAAGAGATTCAGCAAAGGCTTGGACTTCACGGCTCGACCACTTCAACTTAGACAACTTGACGACTCTAAGACGGAACACTACTTTGGCCACTTAACAACGTGTACGACTATTCGACCACCAACTGATTCGCGACTTCTCTTCAACTCTTCGATGGACGATGGGTTTTCTATTCCTACCACTTCTGCTACTTGACGTTTTCTCCATTCTTTCGACCACTTCTCTCGTACTCCAGCGGGTTGCCAACTACATGTTTTACATTCGGCCATCTGACTACACATCGTCTGTCCCAGACGATAATAAATCATCGTTGTCATATTCATATTGTCAGCACTTGTTGTTGTTACATTCGGACCAGAAACATGCGCTGCCTTTGGAACATCATAGCGGCCGTTCCTTTTGACTTTTACCACCTCATATGGACTCGCCAGCTTCTTTCCAGCGACAAACTGCGTGCGTTTGACAGCCACCAGATCTCCTTCTTTGTAGATGTATTCACCTTTACGCGTTTTGTCATAATTCTTTTTGTAGAGGTCGCGAGATTTCTGCCTCTCCATGTCAAAGCTTTCTGTACATTCTTGCTCTAGCACGCTCAAAACTCTATCACTAATTTGGTTATTCATTTGTACGCCGAACATCAACTCAAACGCCGACTTCTTGGTTGAGCTATGCATATGTGAATTGATTGCCCTTTGGACTTGCGGAAAAAATTTATACCATTTTGAGGGATCTTGCGCGGAAAGCTTTGAAATTATAGACAGGATTGATCTGTTAACGCGTTCAATTTTCCCGTTGCCCCTAGCAACACCCGTAGTGGTCCAGACGTGTTCGATAGCATTCGACTTAATGTATTCCTCAAAGGCTGTGGAAGTAAAAGCTGCCCCACGGTCGCTCACGATGCGAGAAGGCAGGCCGAAGACGGTCGACCATTCTTCCAGTTTTTTAAGTACCTCATCGCAGCTTGTACTCTTTGTCGTAAATAACCAAACAAATTTTGAAAACCCGTCGACCATAGAGAAAACGTATTTATATTGTTTAGTTGTTGCGTCCATTGGGCCTAAATGGTCAACATGCAGCGTATGTAGAGGTAGACTTTCCTTGTCGATGCAGCACAGATCACCCTCTTGATTTCCGAGTTTCTTGTTATACAGCAAACACTTTACACAGGCGTTGACTATTTGTGCTACTTTACGTTCTACGTGGGGAATCCAAAACTGTTGCTGTACGCTATGCATCGCCTTTTGAAGTGCGGTATGGCCAACGTTATGAGCCTCAGTTATAATTTCACGTTCCATCTCCTTGGGCACGACGACTAAATTATTACTATTCACGCTTTTATACAAAATATCTCCCTTAAAGTTGAACCCATTATAAGGACGACTTTTAAGAACTTCTAAAATAGCGTTGGTGTAACTGTCTTTTCGCTGAGCACTTTTTAAGCGGGCTGAAATCTGCGAGCCGATGGCCAGCACGTTTGTAAAACGAATCAAGCAATCTACGTGTTCCAACTTATTTGCAACACGGTGTTCAACCCGAAAGTTGAAATCCTGCATGTACAAAATCCATCTGGCAACCTCTCGTGCTGCGTTCTTCTTTTTAATGGATTGTATAAACGCGGAGCAATCGGTGACGAGCGTAAAGTTAACACCCAGGAGGTAATTTTGGAATTTCTCGATCGAAAGGTAGGCTGCTATGACCTCTAAAACATAGCTGTGGCGGTTAGCATCACTAGGCGTCGTTTTCTTGCTCCAGTAAAGTATAGGATGCAAGCTTCCATCGAACTTCTGCAACAGCGTTGCACCGACACCGTCTTTCGTCAGTATGTAATTCCGTAGGAGCATTTCTACAATAAATTCTTAAAACTGGTTCAGCACATAATACATTCTTCAACTGACTGATTGCTTTCAGTTCGTCAACTCCGACTTTAAAAGGCGCATCCTTTTTCAACAAGTTTGTCAGTGGCCGTGCTATCTGTGCATATCCTTTTACAAATTTTCGGAAAAATCCGGTTAATCCTAAAAAGGATTGCACCGCTTTCACATTTCTCGGTGTAGCGAAATTTCTAACAGCGCGTGTCTTCTCTTGGCCTGTCCAAATTTTGCCACCTTCTATTGTATAGCCGAGAAAGTCGATCTTGCTCTCCAAAAAATGGCACTTCTTCCATTTGATGTTTAGGTTGTACTTGGACGCCACTGACAGTACTTGCTTCAGCTTGGTGATACATTCTTCAGACGTTTGTGCGTGGATGATAATGTCATCCACATAAATCTGCATCACATCTTGGTCAACGAGATTTTGGAAAATGTAAGTGATACAAGACAAGTGATGATAGACAAACGCAGCAGGGGAATTGCGAAACCCAAACGGGGCTTTGTTGAACTCGTAAAGGCCCTGCTTTGTGATAAATGCCGTAAATTTGCGACTTGGCTCGTCAATGGGTACATGGAGAAAGCTGTTTTCCAGGTCCATGACAATGAACATTTTTGCCGCTTGAAACTTTTCGAGCACGTCTTCAATGAGGGGTACTGGGAAGCAGTCTCTTAGCACCATGCTGTTTAACTGCCGAAAATCAACGCAAACTCTGTACGTGCTATCTTTCTTTCTTACAATAACCACTCTCCACGAAGTTAGATGTTGATTTGCGTACCACACCATTTTCCAGCCATTCGTCAACTTGTTCTTTTATGGCATCACATTCAACAGGCGGATGACGACTTGACTGCTGACGAAACGGCGTAATCTGACCATCTGGAACTATTTTCAGGAACACAGGACACTCAACATTGCTTTGTGTTGGTTTGTAATCATTAATTATCGATCGTATTAGCGACTGGAACTGCTGCGGCGCGTTGATTTCTACTTTATTTTCCGAGACATTGTAGACCATTAGTTCACTCGATGTATCACTACCCTCTTGCCCTATCGTTTTCGTGAATTTGAAGC